TGTGTGAAGTCAACCAACCCGCACTTGGCCTAATCACGCTTAACTTAGGGTACGTTCCGAGCCTCTCGGTGGAGACGTATAGTGAGCTGATGATGATGATATGTCACGGAATCTGCTAACAAACAAAAAAAACTTGGGCAAAGTTTGCGGCAATTATTGTCCTATTTAATACTCAGAAACATGTCTCGAAAGAATCTACACTAAATGGCTCCTTTAGTTGACTCTGAGTGCTGCAATTAATGTGTGGGATTTCCGCATTATAATACTTCATATATACATAGATAATGAATCGTAAGTTTTACCTGTACTCCTCACAAAACCGGTAGTCCAGTGCCATATTCAGTATATTGCACAACCAACATGCATCAAGATGTATTAAAACACTGATTTCTTGAGTCGATGTGGCAACACTAGCTGACTACGTGACCGTGTTTTTTGATTTAATAACAATATGATTTATTATCTGGCAAATGTTGTAGTTATTTATATACGGGTCGGCAGAATAATTTTACTTCTTACTAATATTATAAATGCGTATATTTGGATGTTTGTTTGAAGGTATCTCCAGGACGGCTGCATGTATCTCTCTGAAATTTGACATAGATGTAGGATATAGTCTAAAAGAACAAATAAGCTATTAATATTTTTTATAGGCTTTAAAACTATAAAATTGTGTATTTTATCCAATCTAGATTATGTTATTTTGGGGATTTTTGTTGATACATATGGATTATCAAATATAACCCGAACAAAATTATAGGCAGTAATATCTATATCGTTCACTCAAGATTTACAGTTTTAGTGGCTCTTACTAACATATCGTTTTAGCAGATTTTCTATTAGTAGTTTGTACTGTATATTGTTTACGTTTTAATCAGTTCAAAGCTGACGTTAGCGAAGATAGTAAGCCTTCATTAGCGGCGGCGCGTGCGTTGTTTCTTGCGGCCAGTGATTTATAACTCTTTATCAGAAGCTGCGGTTAATTGGTAGAGATACACTGTGCTTGTGCGTGCTTTGTCTCGCAGACATGCACTTTTCATATACAACTTTTTACAATTGTGATTAAAAAAATATTTATGGAAGTTCCTATCAAATTTTTCAATAAAACTATTTAAATTTCAAATAGATGTAGCCTTCGACTCCGTCCGCGTGGAATTAATAAGTAGTCTATGTGTTCCGTTGAGTCATTCCGGAGAAACCCTCAAACAAACATCCATCCATACATTCATCTAAACTTTCGCATTTTTAATATTAGCAGATAAGAGTTCGACAATGACAATTGTTTAACCGATACTTGAACAGATACTTACTGTATATCACATAGTAAATCTAAACTTATAAGCGTCTTTGAGTTTACTAAACCCTTAACAAGCCAGTCAAATTAAGTAAAAGCAAGTCGAGTTTATTTGGACGTTATGTTTACGTAACTTGTACTTAAGTTTTTTGTACTTAAGTAAATGACATTTTATTATATAAAATTCCTTGTTATTTTGCAGACCACCAAGGCTGTACTAAATTTAAAATAATGTGGTCAAATTCTATTACAGTTGTTTAAATCGATTATTTATCATTTTCCGGAATTTAAATTTGTTGATTTATTTACATTGGCTTTTGTTGCAATACTCTGCTTACTATTCTGAGTAACAGCCATATTTTAATTTGAATACTAGCTCTCGCCCGCGACTCCGTCTGCTCGGAAATAAAAACCTATAACCCTATGAGTTCTTCCAGATTGTGTTCGACATCTATGCCAAATTACAGCGAGTTCCATGCAGCCATTCTCTAGATACCTTCCAACAAACATCCATCCATCCAAACATTCCATTTATAATATTAGTAACATTGATTTCTTTATTCAACTGTTTTCGAAGCTACTAAAAGTTAATTCTTCAAACGCATCCTTCAACAAGTATATTTGATTTGTTTAGCCTCAGTCGAGTGTTCAGTGAAACTAATTTTAACTTCTCAAAACTTCCATAAGTGGTTTCTTATTGAAATTGTTTTAATCAAGCACTTCACTTATGCTCCAAGAGTTCCTTTGTTAGAAATCAGTTAGCGGATAGTAAAATAACAATCGTGAAACAATCGTAAGTGGTCGATGTTATGCCAAAGTTAATATGTATTATAATAATGTAATTTAATTTATTGATTCTTTATTAAAAACATTTATGTATGAGTAATATTATAAATGCGAATGTTTAAATGGATAGATGTCTGTTGGAAGATATCTCCAGAACGACTGCATGGATCTCGTTGAAAGGCATAGATGTAGATCATAATCTGGAAAAACACATAGGCTATTAAGTTTTTTTTATTCCGCGCGAACGTAGTCGCGGGCGACAATTAGTATTATGAAATAATAACAAATATTTATATATGAAAATTACACTCTTAGTGGTGATTAGTCTTGTATAAATAAAATTCATAAAACCAATTGACCAATTGTAGTAATTATTATTTCATAATTCGGCTATTATTTTTATGCTTACTGTCCTGTCTACCCTGAATGTTATTATAGCGTATCACTTGTACAAGCTATTTGCTTGTATATGTATGATTGGTGGGTTTCCATTCGACCACATGTTCAGTTGCTCAGATTCCTAGTAACATTGAAACAAGAAGCTAATGGAAACGTGCCGATTTCTCTCACGGACGACAAAAACGTGATCGTACCTTTATGTTCTTTTTTTAAAGCTGGCATCCACGTATCCGCGTTTTACTTAAACGCAATAAGTTTCAGTTAAAGTTTACTTATAAAGTCAGGACTGGATTCCTTTATTTACTTCGATTGCGTTCTTTAAACAATTTAAATCTTGGATACATTAAACGCTCATTAACTTGACTAGCGTTGATACATCTTACTAATATTATAAATGCGAATGTTTAGATGCATAGATGGATGGATGTTTGTTTGAAGGTATCTTCGGAACGGCTTGACCAATCTCTCTGGAATAGATGTAGAATATAGTCTGGAATAACACATAGGCTACTTAATTTTTTTTTTAATTCCGCAGTCGCTGTCCCGTGCAACAGTTAGTAAAATTATAAAATTACGTTCACAATTATAGCAAAAGTTTTTAACCTAATATTAAAGAAATACCGTTTTCGTCTCTTTTGCCAGCGACTTCGTCCGCGGGGATATTAAAAAAAAAACTTAAAGGGTGTCAAACTATCCTACCCAACTATGTTCTACATCTGTGCCAAATTTCAACGAGATCCTTTGAGCCCTTCTGGAGGTACTTACCTCCTATCCACACATAATATCCATACATGCATCCATCCATCCATCTTTAAGTTATAGTTCTTCGGAATGTCGTAAATTTAATCGAGCTTATGGGAATTTTTAAGTAGTTGCAATAATGCATATTATATTCAGTTAAAGTTGTTAACTGTTAATAACAGTATTGGTTTCATATTTCAACACTTTGCGTGCTCAGACCTTTATGGTGTTATTTATATCGTGTTTTTTCTCAATTGTTACGTGTTGGCGTGTTCACGCCTGCCTCGGTAATATACCCTTTTCACTAATAAGAGTGACATTTTTGTATCTGTGACTCTCATTTTAACTGAAATTGACGTATTAAAGGTGGTAAGAGAACGAGAATATAAGAGATTGGGAACGTTGATTAAAGGCAGACAACGCATCTGCGATTGCTGATGTCTATGGGCAGCATTCGCGGACGAATTCCGGTGGCCTTCATTCCGGTGATATTCGCAAAAATGCTTTGGATAATATAATATTAAAATGTTTATTATAACTACAAGTTTGAACATCAACTTATCACAAATATATCAACTTTAAATTTATAACACTTTGCAAAAAATCTCAATTACAACATATTATTTGTCGATCTTCATATTATTACGTCATTTGTAGTTGCTACAAACGTTTAAATTGTATAAAATCCTATCGTACTAATATTATAAATGCGAATGTTTGGATGGATGGTATCTCCAGAATGCCTGAACGGATCTTGATGAAATTCGGCATAAATGTAAAACAATTGAAAAAACACATCGTCTACTAGTTAAGTTTTTATTAATTCCGCGCGGACAGAGTCGCGAGCGACAGCTAGTATGTGATAAATGAAAATCTCAATGCGTACAACAAACATGAAATGTCAACCCTATGATTGATAAGTACAGGAAGGTGAGGAAACATATGTCGTCAATTGAACTGGCTTCAGGTTAAATCGGTCAATCATTGTCCGACCGGCGAGTGGGAAATGCTAATCCGATAATCGTCCGCTTCCCCTGTCGATCACTGTTAGTGCAGCGCCCGAACTATTTCATCCTCATTTGGAACTATATTGAAATGACCTGAACAATAATATCTGTTGTCTATACCAATTTTAACTTAAAGCAACATCAGCCAATTTTTTTATTTAAAAATAAATAGTACCGTAGTCGAGACTATGGATTCCAAATTTCAATCAGATATGTACAGTCGTTTTGGAGTTACGTGGTTACAAAGAATTTAAAGTTGTAGAAAATTGCGACTGTTGAAAGAGAAAATCGCTTAATGGTGTACAGATTTCGTGTAAACGGTAGATTTTATGTCCATCGCGAAACTACAAAGGTAAACGTATTTTATTACGATGTTAGTTCAGAAGTCGGACAAGTCACGACATTGTTACTTTTAACCGTCGGCCCACACGCAAATATAACACTAACTGTAACCGTAATAACCTCCGATCCCGCAGAGATAATCCTCACGACGTCGTCGCTTAAATATCGACAGTTAAAGACGATAACCCCGCCGGAGTTAACCATACCCGCTGTTCATTATTTCACGATCGAAGTTGCAGTTGTCTGTACCTAAAAATGACTTATTGTGGTCATTCATTTCGTATTTCTTTTTAATTTAAAATAAAAAATACGGTTTTTATATAACGAAAACTTTTTCCAAATCGGTGATCGCAAGCCGAGATGATCAGATCGAAAGATACCAAATATACGATTACGGAACGAATGCCTTAAAAGTTTTGTTTCTTTATCAGGTGTTCCTTAAATAAGAATTCGATCGAAATGACGATAGACAGAGCAGGAAGGCCACCTGCCCCGCGGCGGACCTCCTCTACTTACAGAAGTTACGATGAACTTGGTGTGATAGACCGCGGTAGACCTCTAAGGTACAGGCATGGTGGAGTAGAAGATCTTTCCGGTATCGAACAGCCGAGACCTTACAGAACGTATGAGCCTCAGGAACTCGATAATATTACTGTTATTAGTTCAGAGGAAATACCTAAGCCCAAACGAAAGACAATGGAAGGTTTGGCAAGTGGGTTTAGAAGAACGTTTTCAGTTAGAAGCAGACGTGATGAACCCGAAGGTATACCAATGGAAACATTTAATGTGACTGGTGAGGAAACGTTTGCCACTGTCAGAGGAGCGCCATTCGGGAGACGGAGGTCTTTGTCGCGCGACCGAGGTTCATCTTTGCTCGCACGAAGTTCTTCGGAAGGTGACGTGAGGATGACACTTCCACGTGCTCCACCCAACCCAACGCCCCGCCTGCACCGCTGCCTACGCGCGCTCGGCGGCAGCTGGAAGAACCTCCTACTATGTGAGTGATCAGGGCTTCTCGTGTTAATAAAAATAACTCCATAGTGTAAAGGCTACCGACCTCTTAACAATCCAAGAACCGCTACGCTATACTTAACTCCACTAATTAAACGTGTATTAAAACGAAATGAATGCATAAACATAAGTCTTAACCTCTCGGAATCCGGTTACGGTTTTCATTATTCTCCTATTTAAAAGGCAGTTAACCGTTTACAGCTCTAGCCCTGTCCAAGTTAATTATCAGCACGACGGGTACAAATGGTCGAGAAATGCTCGGTTACTTGGGATATCTGATGAAACTGAGGTTGCACGAATTAAACGCTTTCTTATATTTAAATTAGGTAATTGTTTGTACTGGTATAAAGGAGAGTGATTGATCGGTCGAGTACACTGAAATTCTATTTCTGATTTGGATAAATTTAACCGACGCAATGAATAATGAATCGAAGCCTCGTTGCGATCCATCATGATTTATTTACCGAACTGATTCGTGGCCAAATCCTATTATTTATTGGGTAACTGCCGATTGTCTAACTACGACGTCTCCCAATATGTCAGCTCTATGGTTTACACTTTGACTTTATCATAATAATTAAACTCTATATCAAAATGTACGTAATGAAGAAGAATTTAGATTGTTTTTCTATCTTCATTAACCATACTATGTGCATCTTACGTTAAATATAATCATCGATACTGATTCACACTCTGACAAGAATCTTGGTCAAGTTACTCAACGTTTTTTTACATTTAAAGATACGTTCTATTTTGACCATAGAAACCATATTAGCGCGAACCACAATCACGTATTTAATTAGCTCGAACCATACCCTTGTTGGTCTCGGGCAAGCTTTTATCAGCGTTTTATCGCAAATACGACGCCTTCTCTTTCTGCTCCGCATTCGTGCGTGTTAAAGTTTCTGTGTACTATACCTAAAGACCATACGTGAGGATTCCTCTGATCTTAACCGGTATGCGAATCTAAATATTTTGTTATTAAAATTAGAACTTTATTGCATTAAGTTAAGGTCTAAAATAGATTTAACGTTTTGTATCAGATGTTTTCTACCGATGTGTAGGCTGGAAGCTTATGTAAGTTGCATATAAACGATTCATTTGTTGCAATAGTATTGCTTGAAGTGATAGCTCATATCACACTGTATGTTTAACCGGAATTTCACTCGTTCAGATAAACAGATTATCGAGAACATGTTCAATATCTGAAGAGTCAAGACTCTTCACTACTATCAAGATAGTTTATTGACCTCGGTTTTATTTTATTCTGTTCTTTTGTAAAATACATTTTCGTACTGCTTTCAAATTTTTATTACGCGTAGAACATTTGAACTTGAGAACAAAATCTTCAACAATGTTTAATGAAATTTAGGCTTTAGTATATTACTAGATATTGCTAATATTATCGTACTAAAGAAACTTTGTATGCGAGTGCTCTCATTTAGAAAATTACCTCTTTAATTTGCGGTAATAGCAGGCCCACGAACAATGTTCCTGTTAAAATGAAAGCGGCACTTCTTGTTGCCTTGTTGTTGACATCCTTTCGAACCTCGGATTTATAATTACGCGGTTCATAACCCACGGACTACGGAATATAGGAAACTAAGTTAAATCGGTTTAAAGTATTAATTAAAATCTAATGAATTTATCGCCAAATCCTTACTTTCTTTACTCTTTTGTTCTTTTCTGATTTCGTGTTTAAATGCAAGGCTTTTGCGCTTACTTAAAAAGATTTTTGCAATAAAAAAACAAATACAAATTCCTTAATTCATCGTCAATGTAACAGCTATTGGAAAGATCGAGGCTAAACCAATTTAAGCGAAGCTGCATAAAATCAATACTAATAGAATTCCCCGACCCCGTCTGCTCGTGGCACTTCTACTGCGTTGTGTTGTGGAAGTAATACATCTAATGGTGGGCTTCCATGGTTCATAATTCTGCGAACAGACGCAAACTTTGAACGACCAAGGATGGAGGAACGACCAGCCCAACTTTGTGAATTGCTGTCGTGAGCTACTATAGTTGAGTATAAATTCGCTTATTAGAAAAGAGGTCTATTTTAAGGACTTCCAATTAGGTAACCTGTATAGGTACTCATGGTGAATCCTTCCGATGCAACCGACACTATTCTCAGTATACGACTTGGGGCTTTGATCCGTGTTATTTCGTAGAATCGTGCACCGTGGAAATGCACCTTAATGTAAAGGGGGTTGTAGACTGTCAACGTTTGTCAGCGTTCCGAGTTCATAGCGGGCCGGTCGCTTGTCTTTTAGTGAAATTGCTTCTGTGAGTGAACGTATTAGTTACGCCGCACTTTGTCATCGGATTCAATTGAATTGTCGGGGAATCGCTTTTAGCGGCAAACTAATCAAGCATTCTTATGTTTCGTTAAACCCTTTGCTATATAGATTTGTTTTTCCGATTTCACTTTACAATTTACGCTTTATTCCTGGTTCTTAGTAAAGAAAATGTTATTTCCTCTTAGTTTAGTATAATTCCTTCTTAGGAATTCTAAGACAAATAGAATCATTATAAAATTAGAGCAGGCACAGTTAATTTTGGCTTCTTGAAAACACTTTTAATATTTTTTTTTGGCAAAATTAGAATTAAAACCAGCTTTGTGTGCAAATAAATGTATCCATTTGTGCGCAGGTCCGGGGTCATTTGGGCCACGGCACGTATTCTCAGCTTATCGCACGGCGCACGTACGACACGCGTCCGACACGATACCGTCTCGCTCGCGACACATGTACGGGTAGATGAAATGATTAGAATTATGCAAAATATTCCATCGCTTCTTTGTCAAACTGTTATAATTTTATTCTCCACATTGCTTGAATATTTATAATTCTACTAGTTGTCGCGTACGACTCCGTCTGCGCGGAATGAAAAAAATAACTTAATTAATACCCTATGCGTTCTTTCAGACTATGATCTACAATCATGCCAAATTTTATCAAGATCCGTTGAGCCTTTCCGTCGCCTTGTAACAAACATCCATCCATCAATCCAAACTTCCGCATTTACGACATTAGTATTATGTATTATAATATTAGTAAAATTAAAATTGATACACTTCTCCATTGCAATACTTTCTCGTCCGTATCAAAAACGACCCAAATTAATGAAAAGAGTTACATATCTTAATAGTCCGTGGACATATAACTATATTCGTTAGTTACCACACATCAGGCATAAAATGTAAGCCGGCGTATTGCAGGCCTCATGACTTAGGTCAGTAAGGTATCAGTCAGTTTTCACTTCGCTTGCTATAACGGTACTAATGCAACACGGTACATCACTTAGATTTTATGCTGTTTGCGTTAAGGATAAGATTAGATAGGATAAATAATTCCAAGGTTTGAAAGCTTTATACAGAAGACAAGCGTGAAGTGGAAGATACCGCGTTTCGTCTAATTAGTGTTTAGAAGAAGTATTTTAGTCCCCTTACCTTCATCTTCTCACAGTTTTAAGTAAAGGATGGGAAGTAAAATTGGCAGAGGAGAGGAAGCATAAGAAAGGTAAATATCCTCTTTCTGTGCGTCCCCTTCTCCGTCGGTATTCCGTTGACCGCTTACTCTTTTTTTTATTGTAATTTTAATCTAAATTTGAACATATTTCTAAATTCCTAAGCACGATTTAGTAATAAGTGTACAGTTACATAAGTTTTGCGATTAAATCAGTTGTACGAAATAAACCTTTGCCAGACTTAATCTACGTATATTTGCCAACTTTGACGATTTGTCAAAATAATGAAGGAAGCGGCTTACGTAGGAATTATTTCTATCTCTGGCCAAAATTAATTTTAAGCTATAACAATTAGAATGAACAATTGTTCTCCCTTGCAGACCCATTGTGTTGCTAATTCCATATTAAGCTTACTTATACGCTATTATATTAAGATTCCTTAGTTTTCCATATTTAGCCAGCCTTTAAATAATCGTTATAAATGCAAATGTTCGAATGGATGAATGTTTGTTTGAAGGTATGTCCATAACGACTGAACGTATCTCTATGAAATTTGGCATAGATATAGAACATAGTCTGGAAGAACATGTAGGCTACTTATTAACTTTTTTTTTTAATTCCCCACGAACGGAGTTACGGACGACAGCTAGTAAAGAAATGCTTCTAATTTCGAAAGTACTCGAGAGAATTTTTAGTAGTTTTTTTTAATATCATTTTATTGTTAAAACTATTTCGCGTTCCAAATATTAACATCAATTATCAAAGTACTAAAACGTATTTTTACTGTTAATTCCCTTAAATTAGTATAAAGTGGTAGGTCACGAGCTTGTTAGTGTAATAAATGCATACAACAATTTTTCAAAGACTTTCCTTTTGGAAAATAAACTCTATACGTATTTCTTTAAGAGCTATTTTACATTACATGCTCTTTACTGCATCTTAAGTTTATAAACAACATTTTTATCGACGCCTTATAGTTTATTATTATAAAATAAATTTTTCAATTATAGACATCGTATAGCTTTACTTTGTTGAAAGGTTTTATAAACCAGGACTTTACGTTTAAACGATAGGGTTGTCCAAATTAAAACTATTTATAAAAATAATACGATAAATATATTCATTTTTTAGACAACAATGCTTTTTAGTTGTAACACTAGGGTTATTGACCTTTTATTTTTTATTGTTGTTTTTTTTGCTACTGTAATAAATCGATTACTAAATCGATTGTAAATTACGTGAGTGTTTAGCCGTGTTTATATATCAGTTTAGTATAATGTCTCACGAAAGTTTGAATAATTTAAATCGATTATTATTCGTATTCATTAATGTATCTTTTTCTTAATAATAAGAGCATAAAGCTATATTAATATAGTTCATTTCATATAAAAAAAATATACATATATTAAAAATAGAGCAACACCATCTGCGGAATGCCATGACTCAAACAACTAACAGTTATTATTATTATTAGATTAACTTATATCCCTATACTATTACTTATTTGCTGTAAACAAA